ATATTTGCAATATTTACTAATCATCTCCCAGTATTAGTGCGTTAGTAACCATAGCTGGGCATTAACTCGTTAATCGTTAATTAACGAAGTTAACATTTCTATTAACCGATTAACTTNGTTAGTAACACTAAGTCACGCTCTAAGTTAAGAGGTTTATGTGTGTAAAAACAGAATCACATAAATACGATCGTGATGTATTTGTAAGCATCACCGATAGTTCTGATGCACATCTGTGATAGACGCCCGCTGGGATTCTATAGCGCACGGCTGGTGTCCATAACTTTCAATTGAGTGCATACGAGTCTAAAGAAACGCAACGCAGACGATCGCAATCGCACCTCGATTGATCTCAATACGATAATAAGCCGTGTGGACAGTGTGGACTTGCCTTTTAAACGACTCCAGTGTAACTCGTGTGGCGGGTGTCCATACATGGTGGCGTTAGTTTTTTTATTGCGCCAATACTGAATACAATGCGAGAAGTTTCGGAACAATTAAATTTATACCGATGAGAATGTCTTTTGGCGCTCGCTTTTTTCATTTCAATTAGTGGGCGGAAAATATAGTTAGGTTTATAATTTTTTTAGTAAAGTTTTTAATTCACACATAGCCAATTGATTGATAGTAAAGAAGTGATCGTAAACGAATCGGATAATCAAATAAACAAAAAAGACCTTGTCAATCGTATCTGGTTTTCAAAATCTCATCCTGGGAGAGCTTTCCCTCGTTTCCTTTGAAGAACTTTCCTTTAAAATGCTTAATTAACCTCCGTTCGTTAAAACGTTACGTAACTTGTAAGTTAAAAGCGAACGCGTCAGTTCACCCGTGCTAAACAAACAGTCGCAGGTTCAAAAGCTAATCTACCAATTAGCGTTCATGTGGCCAGGGCAGTACAATCGCTAACGAGTTTCAGTTCTCCAGGCTAATTCAATCTGGGTTTTATACTGGAGCTCCGCTTGTAGGTTCGTTTCGTACTTTTAATCCGTTTACAAAGATCCTATTTACATAACTATCATCCAGACTCTGTTTTGGGTCTTAATTTATGGATATAATATGATATCTAGCCTATTGCAGCCACTCGCGCTTACCATCATCCAGTCAGCATGACAGTACAGTGTGATATAAATTGCATTATGGATGTGTTCTTGGCCCTATCTTCCCACTCATCGTACCTACCTACTCAAGTTGCCAAATTTGGCATCTGAAATAACGTTTTTGGTTTTACGTACGAAAAAGATACGAAAATTATGCTTAGAAAGTTTGCTGAAGTCATTTCGGCAACCAAATTGCCTCCACAAATTGTGATTCTCGCAGACGATGAACTTTAGTCGGCCGCGGAAGACAAAACCCGCGAGTATTTTGTGGTTGTTTTACGTGCCACTTTTTACGCTTGTTCATTAAAGCGAACTGATTGCCTTTTTTAACAATAATTCTTTCTTCGGAAGGCACGCGTTTCGTGATTCTGATCGGCCAAAAAGGTGGTCAAGGTTGAATTTCATGCGTAAAGAAATTAGAAACTTATCGCGGGACGTCCGATTTTATTTCCTGTATTTGCTCATGTTTGAAGGACACCATTATGACGCCATGCGGCGAGCTTTTCTCAACGCGTGCTCTTACGCTTATCGCACAAACGTAAGTCGCGCTATGTAGGTACATATTATGAATGTCAGATTTTTGTTGCGTTTTCGTCACGCAATGCCTGCTACGCCGAGTTTGATAAAATGTTGAATGATGACACAGCCTAAAAATATTTTCAGAGGTTCGCGAGATTACTTAATGTGAAATAATAACAATGCAATAAATGAGGCTACAATATTTGAATTGAAATTATCATAAATCTTAATTCACCCAAGATTCAGATCTAATGATATGGCCACATGAAACAATATCAGGTTTTTAAACACATAAATTAAAAGTAAAGCATAATAGAAAAACAAAAATTGAAATTGAATTTGTTTTAACAATATTTCTATTATTGAGATAAATGCCATAATAATCTTAATGATGGTGCTACCAATTTTCAGTCCATAAACCACATAAAAACTATCATAATATTTTAAGTGTAGGGCAAGGAACCTTTTGTTTTTAATAACTCATATTAGATCCCACCCACCTTATTTTCAAAGTAATTGCCCAACCTAAAGATTCAAAATGAACTAAAAAATTACAGAAAAGAGGGTCCGAACAATGAGACAGATAAGGTTTTAAAAAGTTATTATTTTTTACATAAACACAGCTATGAATTATTAATAAATAAACTCATTTTTAAACAGTTTTGAAGCAGTTTTCTATGCAAGTATTTTTTGTTGTGTATGCAGTGTTAGATTTGTTGCCGTTGTTTACACTAATCAGGGCATTATTATAATTATTATAAAACTTTATTGCACAATAAAATAGTACAAAAGGTGGACTTAATGCTATTTAAGCATTCTCAGCCAGTCGACCCCTGGGTTATGCAGAAAGCTGTGTGTGCGAAGGTAGAGGTAGAAGGGTAGAAGTTGGGAAGGGCATGTAGGAATGTTGATTTGTATGCATCCCCTAATCTAGTGTGTGATGGGGCAATTTTGATCCAAGATTTAATTATAATTAACCATCTAGGTGTACCCTACTTGTTTAGAATTTATAATTTGCAAAAAATATATTTTAAACTTAGTGGAGATAAATAAAACTTCTCACCTGATCTGGGCAGAAATATCCAAATGCAACCATCCCAAAAAGGGAAAGAAGTAAACAGAATAGTATCACTTTCCGAAGCTTTGATCGTGGTTCCATTTTTTTAATTTCATAAGCACCGCTGGGCAGCAATAACGCGAAATCACTATCTACTTGCACAGATACACTTTTTTGCATTTCGGTCGAATGCATGTCTCATTTTTACAAAAATATCTACTGCTAAACACTCACTGATTCAGTCGACTGTTCATTTACTTCCCATCAAGTCTATTTACGAATCATAGCGTTTGAAGTTCACATTTCTGTTATCGTCTTTCGATTATCTTTGTGTATTGATACGAGCTCGTTATCATTGTTTTGAAGATTATAACATAAAGTATGTTATATTACAAACAAAACCGAAACCCAAATGCGACTTGAGATATGAATCGAGCGAACGCCTGTCCGCGATCCAAAACACGACAACATTGGAAAAATATCAAGCAACCAAACAGAATTTGACAATTGACAATACTCCGTTTGACAGTTCCAATTGCAACACGAGCGCCCTCTAGAACTCGAAAGCACTCGCAGTCCGAAATAGGACATATTTCTTTTCTAACTTAATGTAAATTGTGTAGAAACTTTGTAAATAGATATAAATTATATGTTTACTTTTATATAACATCTATATAAGATAAATGTTCACTTTAATTTAGTTTAACATTTGTGATTAAAGTACCTAATAATTTATATTCGTACCTAGTATTTAGAGCATGAAATTCGGAACATTAATGACAGCTCGAAGTGTCAGCCAAATCTAAAGCTACCAAACATGAGCTGCTAATAACGTTATTGATACCGGTATTTGTTACCAGAAGCAAAAAATCCATGAGCCCTTAGAGCGTAGTCATCCGTGTATTCCCACATTGTCCCACAGGTGGTTATTGGGAAGAAAAATGTTAGTGTTGCTGGACTGGAAAACTTTCTCCCAATGATGTTTCGTCCGTCAGTGAAGGACACCGGGAATATTTTTTAAGTTGGTTTGATGATCACGACTCGCTAGTCTTTGTTACCTTTATTCAGAACTTTTATTTTTCCTCCTCTACTGTGAAAAATGGAATTCGAATCCAAAACTTTTCGCTAAATTAGACCTAGACGGTAGCTTTGCAGTTGATGCATTGTTTATTGTGCAAAAATCGAAACAGTCTACATTTAGGTATATTATCTACATACTAAAACATAAATGAACAAAAAAACTAAACGGGAGCAAACACAGGTAAAAATAATACTTTTATATTTTTCTATGATAGGCTTTAATCCATTATCAGTTTTTAGGGGAGTTTTATAACTTTATAAAGGTACGACATAATTTTTATAAATCAACACTTTTACGTGTATCAAGGAAAATAATTTCCTATTTAAATCAGGATATAAACTAAAAGTAATAAAACAAAAAATAGAATGCATCAGCAAATTCCTAACTACAAATCATTTAAATTGAAAATAAAAATATTTGTGGCACTAACACTAGAAGATCTACTTCAAATTAAGAATGTTTAAAAAAAAGGCACTTTAAAATAAGGTGGGGAGACAGTATACAGGGTGGAAACGATAAGTGATCTCATTCGATTATTTCAAAACTATACAAGATATCGAAAAACTGACTACTGATCCTGAAAGTGCTTCACGAGCTCTTTCAAACGATATCAGTAATAGGTTACAGAATTAACTGGATCCATCCGAAAATTCAATATTTTTAGCCTCCATACTAAATGTATGCCACTATGCCAGCCACACAATACTAGAAGTGCTATTTTTTTTTTATTTTAAATAATAAACACTTAAAATTAATTCGTAAATTGCATTCTTATTTAAAATTATTCATGGAAAACATTGGTTTTAGGCTTTACTTGCTCTAATATTATCAAAACATGAGTGCCATGACTGTGGCAGTACTAAATGTATGGAAGCTGGTAACATTGAATTTTCGGATAGATCCAGTTTATTTTATAACTTATTATTGGTACCGTTGGATAGAACTCGAGAAGCACTTTCAGGATCAGTAACCATTTTTTGAATATCTTGTACAGTTTTTAATATAATGTGGTTTTACTAAATGTATGGAGGCTGGACCCATTGAATTTTCAGATAGATCCAGTTTATTTTGTAATCTATTATTGGTACCATTGGATAGAGCTTGTGAAGCACTTTCAGGATCAGTAACCAGTTTTTGGATATCTTGTATAGTTTAGAAATAATCGAGTGAGATCACTTATCGTTTCCACCCTGTATAATATAATGTAACAAACATATTGAACAGTAAAATTGATATTTTATTTTATCGATCAATTTTCTCTCGTCACACTGCAGTTGCTCTTAAAAGTAGTAAATATTAAAATGTATAAATATGTACATACAATTAAAAAATTCAACAAGGAATATTTTAATATCTACCTAAAACTATATGAAAATCATAAAATCAATCATTTTTTCGCATCATAAAGAAGCACAGTTTCAATTTGGATAAAATTATTATTAAAGATCGGTCTGGAACAGGTTTATTAAGAAATATCATAAAATATAATATTGGTTTAAAACTGTAAAAATAAAACAGAAACTGATAAAATTCCAAAATTATTTGACCAACAATGATGGTGTAGCCAGAATCAATAACATTATTGTGTTACCACCTCAAGAGTTAAAATACTAGAGTACTTTATTAATAAAAACAGTATCACATTCCAGATCGATCTTGGCTTAATAGTGCGTGTCATGTAACAACAGTCCCTTGAAAAAATACGTACATATTTAAAGAAAATTGTACTACATACATAAAGCATAAAACAGAACTCAATGCCACGAGAGAATCTTTAGCTGTCCTTTTACAGATAATAAAAAAATGTATACAAAATTTCCACACCTTGCTTGATTACAATTTTTTCTCATTTTATGTATTACAAAATTGTCAACCATGACATACTATATTGTTAACATTTCTTTATAATATTCAACACTTGATGACTGCGGTACCTTTAATAACACTACACTCAGTCAACACTCACAATATGTTGGTGTTATTTATAACTTCACCAGTCCCTAAAAAGGATCAACTCCTCTCACCACAGAATTTTCTAGTTATAAAAATTAGTATATTTCATTGATTCAGTCCACAAATTTGAAACAAAGTCCACAATTCCACTCAATGTCATGTGTCACGAAACTGGCACATGGTGAATGTTGTTATTAGTTAATGTTCGGTTCACTAGGCGTTTGTTTAATAAAACGTTCTTCCAGTACAAAATATTTAGCACATTTTAATTTGTTGAGAGTTTTTTAATGACGCACTGTTTAAAACAATCAATATTCTATGTTACATTTAAATTGTTCAGATTGCAACGTAACATCGGTTACGTTTGAAAAGGACAAATCCTCCATTCTGTTCATGTATGCCCCGACACATAGACATGCCCTTATAATACGGTACCAATTAGTTACTCCAGTACTAGTTGTCTATGGAGAGAAGCTAGTCCTCAACAGTCCTCGTGTATCGTCTATATCAATTGCGAGGACGCCCGCGGCCACGCGAACCGTCACGGTCCTGGAAAAATAAAAATAAATGATTACAAAAAAAATCAAATAATTTATAACAAAGTCATTCAATCACGTTTGAGAATATACCTTATGATGGGATCTATAGTTAGAGTCACGGTCACGGTAGCCGTGGTCGCGGTTATCCCGGCCGTCGCGGTCGTCACGGTGGTCGCGGTGATCGCGGTGGTCGCGCGGGTCGCGGGCGTCCCTCTGGTCGCGCGGGTCCCGACCTTCGCGGTTGTCGCGCGAGTCGCGGTGGTCCCGCGAGTCGCGCCCGTCCCGATGCTCGCGGCCGTCTCGCCCGTCGCGATAGTCACGGTAGTTGCGGTAGCCCCGCCCCGGCGGCTCCTGGTCGTCGCGGCTGTTGTCCTGGTTGTTATGGTGCGGAACCTTACGCGAGTCCTCCTCCTCCTGGCGCCGCTCGTAATGAATGAAGTCGTCGAAAATAGACGTAGAGTGACAGTAACTATGCATAATACGCAACACCTGCAGACCCTTGGCGTGCGGCACCTCCTGGGTGTCGCGCGAGTTCGTCACCGGCTTGTTCTCGTTATTTTCTAATTTGATATGACGAAGTTGCACGTTAGGAACGTCCTTAACATAGATCCACCTCACGCGGAACTGTCCTTTCCACTTGTCCTGCGACCACACGCTCGAGTTGGAGTTGTAGTCGACGGCGCTGGTCATGCGCGCCATGCCGCAGAAGTGGCCGCTGCCGTTGACGGAGAACAGCAGGTACACGGCGCCGCCCTCGCGCTCGCGCTCGCGGAAGGCGGCGTCGAGCCGCTTGTTGCCGTGCTCGGTGCTGCACCAGATCTCGTACTTGATGCTGCGGTGGATGTCGTCCTCCGAGTACGACTTGATCACGAAGAAGCGGGCGAGCGGCGCGCTGAGGTCGAACTCCTTGGGGTTGTAGTCGTTCTTGACGCGCAGCTCGTCGAGCACGGGGTGGGGCGCGGGGGGCGCGGGCGGCGGCGCGGCGGCGGGCGGCGGCGGCGGGCGCGCCAGCAGGGCGCGGGCGCGGGCGGCGCGGCGGGCGGCTGCGGCTGCGGCGGCGGCGGCGCGGCGGCCACGGGCGCGGCGCTGGCCTTGTCCCAGGCGCCGATGTCCATGTTGTGCTTGCCGGGCACGATGGGCGGCGGCGGCATGCCGGGCCCCTTCTTCTTGAGCCCGCCGGGCGCCGCGGCCGGCGCGGGCTTGGCGGGCTGCGAGGCGATGGAGGCCCACGTCATCTTCTTGGGCGCGCCGGCCGCGTCCTTGAGCTCGGGCGCGCGCTCCTTGTTGTGCTCGCCGAGCGCCAGCGCCTGCACGCCGGCCTCGACCGCCTTGATGCCGTCGGCCACGTAGATGCCTTCGTTCCTGTAGTAGTCGTCATATTGCTTAGCGCGACCTAATTGACCCCAAGTGGAGTAGTCACCGTTACCGTGAAAATAATTGAATGTGGATGCGGGTTGACCGAATGCAGCGGTCGAAAATGGCGTTGTTGAGTGTCCGAATACACCTGAAATGATAGTATGCATGTTAGGTTAAGTGATCATTGCAATAAAAATATTTGTCATGCAATTAATTGAGGGAATGAAATGTTTGTGATGGTAGTCATTGTATGTAAACAGTATGTTGGCAGTGAGTTTAAATATGAATAGTTGTGGTCTGTCTATCTGCTAATATTCTAAACGTGAGTTATTTGAGTACATAACAACAAAGTATATGACTTCATTGTTATGTTTACTTATAGCCAAACCTCATTATTTTATCACATGTTCATTATGCTAATGAGTGATAATGTTGTTCTTGAATTACTGAATAAATACTAGCTACCATCCATTCCATAAGAATCGTGAGGATTGTATCCTCCGAGGAAAGTCATCGGGTCTGTTCCATTGGTGGACCATGTCCCATCCCCGACTCCAAAAGCTTGGTAAGGAAGTGCTGTTGTACCGTAATAACCTGTGAACCAGGAAAACATTTGTTTGAGAAGAGTGTCTACAGAATAATCACTCAGCTGTTACTGATAACATGTAATGTACAGTCAGCTACTCATATTTCTTAGAAATTTCTTTGTCATTGAAATGAAAAAAAGGAATGAGTGTATATTTTGCAATCTATCTACATGAAATATGAGAAACATACTGGACAAATTGTGTTCATATAAATAAGCAGACATTGTCAATTTTCACTTAGACGTCAACCACATTTGTAAATAAGTTTATTAGTGTCTGGTTATATAACTCTGCATGAATTGTTAAGTATGCTGTGGTTACAATGTTATCTAGCTTTTTTATAAAAACACAATGAAGTTTTAGAAAAGCAGGGAGGTATGAGATATGAAACAATATGTACCTACCTGCCGCGCTGTAGGGGTCGGCTGACGAGATGGGCGGCGCGTACGAGGGTTGCTGTTGGTGACGCCATGACACCTCAGCCAACTCATCTCCGCCACTCTCTAACTGTTGCTCTTTCGGTGCATTATTAACTGGAAGCAATTAAGCAGACTAATTAATTGTTGTAACTTTTAATTGGCAACATCAGCAACAACATTTAAGAAAATAATAACATGTGTTTGAGATGACAACAATTTTAAAGAAAAATATTTCATGCAAATATTATAGGTATGCACTAGAAGGTATAAATTGAATGTAATTAATTGAGAATTATTTTTTGTAATTTAATAGTAATGTAATTTACAATAATAAATAGGTTTGAAACCTGCTGTGTCAATGTAGAATTACACCCAATTAAATATTATATTATATCACTTCAACAGTTAATAAAATTAAATGAACAGTCAAATATAATGAAGAGAAATCTTGATATTGGTGTAATTATTTCTTTAATGAAATGTTGTTCCAATTAATGAGGATATTTACAAAACTGGATTACAGATCATTACTAGGCACTTTATAACATTCCTGAGTGTTTCCTGTCATTTTCACTACTTACCATAATACATTGGGTACATTATTTTTAGAAATATTAAAATACTTATACTGACTGAAAACTTGGTACTATATTGAAATTCTCTCTACTAAACCCTATGTTCCATAAACAAGTATTGATTAGATTTTATGTGTGGGTTGCATTATTCTCCTTACTTTCAGTGTGGGCAGCAACACCTACAGACAAATCATCTGGTAATTTTTAGACTAAAGTGTATAGAAAACTATGTATGTTTCTAGCTCGGGAATTTCTCCCCAGAGGATTCTGTAGTAGTTTCTGACAATCCAATACATACTTGTTAGGATGGTTGTATTTATTCAGAAGTAAAATCCAGTAAGCAATCATAGAAAGGGAAAAGCGGTGAAAGCAAAAACTATGACGCTAATCATAGCAACGCAACCCGACCGCCTGATCGGATACAAAGCCGACCGGTACGAGATTCTTCGACAGAGAAAACACCTTGCAACGTCATAATGGATCAAACTTTACCTTGATTCCCTTGCCCTTTCATCCGCTACAGGATACGGAGGACATGGAAAAAGAGATAAAGTGAACATTAGTAACTAAAAAACATAAAATTTAACCGTAAATAAAGTAAAAAGATAACGCAAAAGCGAAATACCTGATCTGACACGCCTGCTGACATTGGCCACGATATTTATAATATTGAGCACTCAGTTATGTTCTTACTCACGACACTTAAATTATAAATCACATCAGTTTCACTGCACAATGTCCAAGGTGTCCGAGATTCACCTAATTATTTAAAAATGTCTGTAATAAATAAAAACCCACTGAAAGTCCAAAACGGATGGACGTTTTTTAATGGCGGCTGCATTGGTGTTGCCAGTATGTTTTTTTCTCAAGTTCGGTTCAAATTTTACCGGTTTTTCCCTATGGTATTGTAAGGCTACGGCTATATTTGCGACTTTTCGTAAATGTAGGCCAAAATGTGCTAAAATTTTGAAACAATTTCCTGTCTGACACGGATAATTTTTAAAATTAGAATTTTCAAGGCCCGACCAACTTTAGAGCAGGTGCAAATAACACCATCGTTGTAAATAAATTAAAAACTAATTTATTTATGTATTTTTTATATTTCATTTAATTTACAAAATAAATCTTCAAAATTATTACTTTTTCGTGAAAAACGAGGATATCGTTTTGGTCCCACTAGCAGCTTTCTGTCTAGCTTTTTCCTTGGCTGACATAGGTTTTTCTTTTTTGACTTCGCTGAAGCTTTGATTAGGACTTGTTAAGTTTTCCATAACATCAGTCACTTCATTTTTTATTTTCTTGTTAGTCCCGTTAAGTTCCACTTCAGATTTTCTTTTTTTCCCAATCGATTCAATTAGGTCTGGTTTAAAATCAAATTGTTTCTCCAACAACTCAGCTAGTTCATCAGGGAGGTATTCCGAAATGATACCACATGCATATTTCAAATAAAATTCTGAAAAATAAATGCATTTGTTAGATTGAAATGATATTTTTCTTCTGAAAAACCCGAAATTAATTTTCTTCCTGATGTTTTGCAATAAATAGACAATGCTCCAAAAATTACTTAGATTCTATCATATAGTTGTTATTTAAAACATACAATTAAGTAGTAGTATCTAATTTTTACTGATTTAAATTTACAAACCTTCATCCACAGTATCATTACTTAAGTTACTGGACACAAATGTTGCAGAGGCAGCTCCTGATGTCACATGAATATTTTTTTGTCTTAAAACTTGCGCTAGCTTCTTGACTCTATCTTGAAGCCATTTTAAGGTTTTTTCCTCATTATATTTATATGCTTTTAAATCAGGTGAGCCCTGCAAGAGTGAGCAACATTAATATAACATAAAGTATTAAAACTTGAATTGTAAGTGATTGTACCTACTTTTAAATCACCTATGTTGTCTAGTGTGCCCACATAGTCAAGTATTTTATCATATCCTTTTTCAGAGAGCAAGTCTTCCAAAGGCATTGCCCTATTACTGCAATGTTCTTTTAATCGCGGTAAAACTGTAACAATAACAATTCATAAACAAATATTTCAAAACAACTTTTTTATCCAATAAAATGTTTATATGAAACTGTTTCTAACCTATAAAAGCTGGATTTATCGGAGTCACCAACATAATACTTCCATCAGATTTTACTGTTTCATTGATAAACCATGATCTATGGGGTTCACTGAAAGTTACTGCCTCATAAATCTTATTGTTTACATTATCCAAGCAGTATTTGGCAGGATTCCCAGTCGCAGGATGTGGTAGTGTTATTACACTAAAATTGTCATTATCAAACAATGATTCTGAAACAATACCATAATTATCGTAAATACACTGTGCTGTGATGCATTATAATAAAGCTTAGCGTGTTAGGGGGTTTACCTTTGAGCAGAAGAACCCATGAGTTTTCAACACGTTTTGATACTGCTGGTAAGTTCTGTTTGTTGTCTAATGAAGTCTTAGATTTTCTTTGAGACCTAGTAGTCATGTTGTTTGTGTAATCAATTTCTAAAATAATTAAAAAAATGATTATCCATTAAAAATTAATAAACTGCACTCTTGTTTACGTTCCCGCCGCTTTTATTTTCCTCCTTGACATCTGACATTGACACTATATGCCAACCTATTTATTTTACCGATCGACGATTCCACTTTATGCTTTGCTTGCTTTACCGGCGCCAACCGGTGCAATAAATGTATTTGGCGCCGGTAGTGTACCAGTGGTTAACCGGTAAGTAATCACTTCCCTAAATTTATGACAGCTGTCATCACATCTGATTTTGACAGTCAAAAGAAGAACCGCGCTTAAATTTTTTCGGAATTGAATTTGCTTTTACTAATTAAATCGATTACTTTGTAGGTTTTGTGGCTGTACATATTAATAATCTAAGCCTATAGTTGCAAGCAATATGCAGGCTTTTCTTAAAACTGGTAAAATTTCCGCTGCCGATAAACCATCTTCATCCGGCGTCAAAACATCGTCTAAGAAGAAGCCACCAGCACCATGGGTGGAGAAATAGTAAATAATATTGTTACTGCTACTATATCCATAAACTACACAAGCTGGTGATAACGTACTGACAGTATTTTTTAATGTTTTCAGCCGCCCGAAAACCATAGATGATATAGTTGACCAAGGTGAGGTTGTGCAAGTCTTGCGGGAATGTTTATCGGGTGGAGACTTGCCACACCTGCTGTTCTATGGCCCCCCTGGCACGGGTAAAACTAGTGCTATATTGGCTGCTGCTCGGCAGCTGTTTGGAGACATAACAAAGGATAGAGTATTGGAATTGAATGCATCTGATGAACGCGGTATTCAAGTGGTCAGGGACAAAGTGAAGGCCTTTGCCCAGCTCACTGTAAGCAGTACGAGACCAGAGTAAGTAGTTTTTATTTCAATATTATAGATAATTTTCTTTTTGAGGATCATTGATACTTTATATTGAATAGGGAGTATTTAAATAATAGTTATTGGTTATAAAGGGATCTGTATCTCCCTATAATATAGCTGGGTGGATGCCCACTATGACTTCCAATTTGACTATTCATAGGAGAGAGATACAGAGACAAGAGAGTAACAAACAGTAATATTTTATGAAAAAATTGATTGTGGCAGTAAACTTGAAGTCTAATGATGATAGAACTTGTTGATTTTGAAATAAATCCAGTAATTTCCATTTGAGTCTTGTTTTGTTTTCACTTTGTAAGAAATCAATAATGCATACTCTCAATACAATGTGAGTATAATAGACACCCACTGCATATTACTTGTTCTAGCCTTTTTAGGCTATGCTGTATCTATATTATGAACTATCAACAGACTGTTTCAACCTCCATTTTTGTTTCTTGACATGTGTTCATCTTTTGCATCTTCTCAGTGGCCGCCCCTGTCCACCGTACAAGCTGGTGATCCTGGACGAAGCGGACTCCATGACAAATGCCGCACAGGCGGCCCTCCGCCGCACAATGGAGCGTGAGACACGTACCACGCGCTTCTGTCTCATTTGTAACTACGTTTCTCGGATCATCCCGCCCATCACCAGTAGGTGTTCCAAGTTCCGTTTCAAACCACTGGCGAGAGAAAATGTTATTAAGAGGTGAGTTGTATAATATGCAACATTATACACACAGACTTAACATTCTTCATTATAATTATTTCAGCTACAGGAAGGAAGGATACTACTGCTGAACATATGTAGGATTTAATGTTCACTGAGTCTAGTTTCTATGACTAGAACTTCTTCATTTGCTTCTTATTAATGCCATTATTTAGTTAGTATTGGACCCCTCCAAGGGGCATTTTAAGCGATATCTCAGCATGCCTGATATCTACAAAAATACTACAAAACTAGAAAGCTTTGAAAGGCAGCTCTAAAAAAAAGTTTTACGTAACTTATGGAGTGTACTTAGCGTGAACGGACGATGCGATTTCGTCATCACTCTATAAAAATACTAGGTAGGATGCTTGGCTTGGATTGGCTAGGAGATTTAAGAAATATTTTTAGAGATATTTAAATAAATTTAATCATTAATATCCCTTCCTTATCCCATCACAGACTCCGCGAGATATGCGAGACGGAAGGCGTAGAGGTGGGCGACGGAGAAGTACTACATCAAGCAGTCGACACGTGCGAAGGTGACTTGCGGCGCGCGCTCACGGCGCTGCAATGCTGCCAGCGGCTGCTAGGGAAGATCACGGCTGACGGACTTATTGAGGTTAGAATAATTGTTTATATCTCACATTTTACCCTATAAAGTAGGTTTTCATCGCGAGCATAGACATAAAGTAGCTTTTCGTCGTGAGCTTAAAGCAAACGACTGCACAAGACCGAGGTACATGGCGACATGTTTTATCGGACAAGACAAGACACGCTTTAGATCGCTGAAGCCATCGGAGTAAGTAAGCTTTGGCTTGGGCTTGGCCTATGGAAGGCATAGAGGTGGGTGACGGAGAGGTGTTACACCAAGCAGTCGACACGTGCGAAGGTGACTTACGACGCGCGCTCACGGCGCTGCAGTGCTGCCAGCGGCTGCTAGGGAAGATCACGGCTGACGGACTTATTGAGGTTAGAATAATTTACTTCTTACCTTATAAAATAGCTTTTCGTCGCTAGCTTGAAGCAGGCGATTGCTCAAGACCGAGGTAAATGACGACATCTCTTATCGGAGACCAGGACAAGACACGCTTATGAAAATGTTAGTTCTTGAAAGTTTCCGCTAGGGGCGCTGTACAATCCGTCATACATTTAAAGTCACTTTTTTGCACAGTCGACATCGAATGCCTTTGACGTAAACTCACACTACACCCCATGAAGTCTCNTAAAGACAAGTTAGATTTCAAATAAAAACAAAAGATTTCGAGGTAAATTAAAAATTTTAGTTAAAATTAAAATTGTCTCTACCTGTAGCGGAGAATAATGTTGTGGCAGGCCTTTGTTCAAACGATCATAGCAAATGTTGTGATAGGGATATAGACATGCGATTTTTGGTTTTACAAAGATAATACGATAGAAAATAATACAAAGTAATAAAAACCACCGGTTATAGGGGCATTTTTTGGAGAAATTTATAAAATAACCAAAAAAGCACGAATTTTTAAGCAGATTTTTTTCAAAAAGTATCATTTTTTATTATTTGTTGGCATTTTTTGTGTATTCTATGTATTTTTTTAGTATCGCCTGTTATTTAGCATTATTACTGTTTTTATTTTATCAGGATATACAGCTTAGTTTAAAAGTTATTACGTTTTCTTTACAATAAGTAATTTGAAGAAAAAAAATTCTATAAAAAATTTAAAAAAAATCTCAAAAATTTTTTGACCTCTTTTTTGTCGATAAAAATAGGTCCTAGTTTCATCTATTTTCATATGTACACTTTAACGTGACTCACACTGTATAATTAAGCTTTTGCACACGAGCTAGAAGTAGGCGACTGAGCGTGGAGCTACACTAGACCGAGGCAAATGATGGCAATATTTCTTATCGGAGGCCAAGTTATTCTTTGGGTCACTGGAGTCATTGGAGTAAGTAAGCTTTGGCCCGCGGCTTGGCCCATGGAAGGCGTAGAGGTGGGCGACGGAGAAGTGTTATGTGACTTCAATAAGTTATTCTAACCTCAATAGGTTAGAATAATTTACATCTTATACTATCCTATAAAGTAGCTTTTCGTCGCTAGCTTGAAGCAGGCGACTGCACAAGACCGAGGTAAATGGCGACATCTCTTATTGGAGTCAGGACAAGACACACTTTAATTCGCTGAAGCCATCGGAGTAAGTAAGCTTTGGCCCACGGCTTGGCCCATGGAAGGCGTAGAGGTGGGCGACAGAGAAGTGCTACATCAAGCAGTGGACACGTGCGAAGGTGACTTGCGGCGCGCGCTCACAGCGCTGCAGTGCTGCCAGCGGCTGCTAGGGAAGATCACTGCTGACGGACTAATAGTTTACTTCTTACCTTATAAAATAGCTTTTGGTCGCCAGCTTGAAGCAGGCGATTGCTCAAGACCGAGGTAAATGACGAAATCTCTTATCGGAGGCCAGGATAAGACACACTTTAGATCGCTGAAGCCAACGGAGTAAGTAAGCTTTGCCCGCGGCTTGGCCCACGGAAGGCGTAGAGGTGTTACACCAAGCAGTGGACACGTGCGAAGGTGACTTGCGGCGCGCGCTCACGGCGCTGCAGTGCTGCCAGCGGCTGCTAGGGAAGATCACGGCTGACGGACTTATTGAGGTTAGAATAGTTTACTTCTTATCTTATAAAATAGCTTTTGGTCGCCAGCTTGAAGCAGGCGATTGCTCAAGACCGAGGTAAATGACGACATCTCTTATCGGAGACCAGGACAAGACACGCTTATGAAAATGTTAGTTCTTGAAAGTTTCCGCTAGGGGCGCTGTACAATCCGTCATACATTTAAAGTCACTTTTTTGCACAGTCGACATCGAATGCGTTTGACGTAAACTCACACTACCCCATTAAGTCTCGGTGACGTTTGACATTACAATAAGGCCTCAGCCTTGAGTTTAGCGGGCTGCGGGGCGGGAGCGGCGGCGGCGCGGGAGCGGGGCGGGCAACGCAGACCCGTTCTCGAAACAAGCGGGCAGCTCGCGCGGCGCTTTAGCGGCGAAGTGTTGTGTTCGGGGTTGTGTTGTCGAGATATTTGTTTTTATTCGCAAACGAAATGTCTGAACAACGGCGACAAATTTATTTCGATTCAAATTTATTCGTAACGCTCGATTTATTGTGGGCAAAAGAAGGAGTGCGCTGCCCGCTCGTTGCCCGCTCCCGCGCCGCTGTTTTCGAGNGCCGCTCCCCCGCCCCGCTGCCCGCTAAACTCGAGGCTGAGGCCTAACATCCAACCGTGCCGCTCCCATTCCTCAGACACTCACTCAGCTATGCGCTACACCTGTAATAATAAACTAGCTTTTGCTCGTGAGCTTGAAGCAGGCGTCTGACGTGAAACTGTACAAGACTGAGAAAAATGGCGACATCTCTTATGCGAGACAGGCTTTGGTGAGCCCTCAGAGTGAATGAGCTTTTGCTCGCGCCTTCGTCCTCAGAAGGCCATTACATTTTTTTTGTACATTTTCAAGATACTGGAGAAGACTACGGCCGGCACATAGTCCTATAAAGTTTTTGAATATTCAATATAGGTTTTCACAACCCTTCGTCTTAAAATATTTGATTTTGATTTGATTTTTTAATCAAAATGTTACTATTCTTGAAGTGATTGACACGCGAATATCTGCAATCGGTCCCATGCGCGTACACTTACAATAACTGCAAATAACTGCAATCGACAGTCGATACACGTTCTAAACATAAGATGTATATTTGCTTTTCACAGGTGACTGGACTTGTTCCAGACAAAATGGTCCAGGAATACATGAATGTCAAGAACTACGCAGAACTGGAAAAGTTTGTAGAAAAGTAAGTATTTATGTTTAATTTATGATGTGGGATCACATTGGAATATTTACCTTTTCCCATGTTCTATGTTAAGTAACCCCGGTCTATTTTTCTTGTCTCTAGTAGTACTTTCTGCTACGAGATAGAAATTTGCCGGGAGCGTCTCTCCTTCAGATATACTGTGAGCAGTCAAAACGCTTCTCCATTTTATGGCAAAGGAAGTTTAACATTAGCCTAGCGTTACTGGTTCGCGCACTCGTGACTAATTTGCTACTAAAAATCGAGTTTTACAAAATTTTTACATAGAGCTATTGACCTCCATTTCAGTATAACTTTTTTAACACTTAAGACACCAACGGCGCTATATCCCGACGTCAGGCTAACGCTCAAGCGCGCTAGGCACCCGTATCTGGCGAACCCTTTATACTTTTTTTTATCAAAGATATCCGATTTAATAGTCTCCATCCATTCCAGTTTCCTAATGGAGGCGTTTAGTGCGTTGCATACTGCTAGCGCCAGCACTGTGTTTGTCATAAAACTATCCGCATTCTACCAACACAATTCGGCGCTATAGCGCGACGTAAGGCGTCATATCTTCGGCGTTATCCCTTTATACTTTTATTAGCAAAGATGTCCCATTTAATAGTCTTCCTCTTTTATTTTGGCAACGACTTGGTTTTGAGAACCATGATTTCGCCAATGTCACATTTAATAGTCTCCATTCATTCCAGTTTCGTAATGGAGGCGTACTCGGCATCTCAACTGCTGGAGCAGCTCAGCGCGACCGTAGTCACAGCCGGCCAGCTGACCAACAAGCAGAAGTGCGCCATCAGCGAGAAGCTAAAGCCTAGTCCGTGAGCACGTAGAATTTTGTCCAATGACCCCAAGTTACCCATCCTTATCGCTCGCGCGTAATTATATTGCTGTCGCGACTGTGCGACGCGCGCCCGCAGTTAGTGTGCGAGTGCGACAGCAACATAATTACGCACGAGCGATAAGGATGGGTAGCTTGGGGTCATTGTACAAAATTCTACGTGCTCACGGACCAGGCTTTAGCAATCTGTGCCCACCGGGTGTGACAAATGACAACTGTCGCGCTAAGCTGCTCCACGAGTTAGAGATGCGGACTACGCATGTAGATCCTGACTATGTACATGATAACTGAAAACACGACATCCCCAATGATTTCCATTTCAGTATTTTTTATTTTTTTAAGTGTCTTAAAATTACAGATTTATGGTGTGATCAAGTTATTCTCTTAAGAATTTGCTAAACAGAACGCGCACCCATCACCGCGTTGTAGCGTTCAGTGCGTTGTATACTGCTAGCGCCAGCACTGTGTTTGTCATAAAACTATCCGCATTCTACCAACACAATTCGGCGCTATAGCTCGCGCTATACATGGGCATAGTTGTATTTGGCGAACGCGCTATAGCGCGACGTAAGGCGCCATATCTTCGGCGTTATCCCTTTATACTTTTATTAGCAAAGATATCCCATTTAATAGTCTTCTTCTTTTATTTTGGCAACGACTTGGTTTTGAGAACCATGATTTCCGTTCCAGTTTCTACCAACACAATTCGGCGCTATAGCGCGACTTCAGGCGTCATATCTGGCGAACCCTTTATACTTTTATTAGCAAAGATGTCCCGTTTAATAGTCTTCTTCTTTTATTTTGGCAACGACTTGGTTTTGAGAACCATGATTTCCGTTCCAGTTTCTACCAACACAATTCGGCGCTATAGCGCGACTTCAGGCGTCATATCTGGCGAACCCTTTATACTTTTATTAGCAAAGATGTCCCGTTTAATAGTCTTCTTCTTTTATTTTGGCAACGACTTGGTTTTGAGAACCATGATTTCGCCAATGTCACATTTAATAGTCTCCATCCGTTCCAGTTTCCTAATGGAAGCGTACTCGGCATCTCAACTGCTGGAGCAACTCAGTGCCACCGTAGTGACAGCCGGCCAGCTGACCAACAAGCAGAAGTGCGCCATCAGTGAGAAGCTAGCAATCTGTGCCCATCGGCTGTTGGATGGAGGCGCCGAGGTCATGCAGCTTACGGATTTGGGATGCACGATTATCATGGCGAATAACGACCCTTGATGGGTTGAACGGTATATTTTTACCCTATTTTGATATAAGTTTACCCCTTAGGCCCAGAACAGACGGTGAAACGCTACTGCAACGAAACTGCAACTTTGTGATGATTTTGATGAATGAAACTGAAACTTTCAAACTGGTCGCGTCATGTGTGGTCTCTTAACGGACGCTATGGCAGAAACTTAGTGCAACTTAAAAGTAACTAGCAATTGCAGTTTCGTTGCAGTTGCGTTTCACCGTCTTGTCTGGGCCTTAGTAAAAAAAGTTACACGCATGCTGAACATTGTAATGACATTTCTATACTAAAGCTGAGATGCATCATCTTATTTTAACTTTAACAAACGTCAAAAATCTGTCAAACTCCAAACAAAAAACACCGGTTATTGTTACAGTTAAGGTCAAGGTAAGTTGGTGCATACTATATGTAACTTTTGTTAGTATGGGGTTAAACTTTAGTTTGTAAATCTGTTGAGAGTCAATTTGATAGAATTAATGCTGTGAGATAAAATAATGTGTCTTTTTTTTCGGGATACTTTTATCATGGAGAATAACGACCCTCGATGGATTAAATGGTTAATTTTACCTTACTTACATACTTTTGTAAACCTTGAGAGAGTCAATTCGATGAAAAATTAAGTGTTGACACACATGTTTTTTAACAGATTTAAATAGTGTTGAAAAATATAGATGGCGTTGCTGAAGTCACAAACGTCTTTTAGGGTGCACAATTTTATATCAAACTAGTTTCTGCCCGCAGCTTCACCAGCCCTAATCTTTAACAGAATGGGTTTTTCATCCATAATCTAGCCTATGTTTATCATTAATGACGAAAGAATTTTTGAAATCGGTCCAGTAGTTTCGGAGCCTATTCAATACAAACAAACAAATATTTCCTCTTTATAATATTAGTGTACATAACAACCATTGAATGGTATATTTTTCTTACAATAAATTAATGTTAAAGCAAAATAATGATAGATTAGGCTGTTTATAAATATGCATCCTAGGTTCCAGGTGGTCTATTCCATATAAAGGACAGGCTAACAGTTTATTGGCTGTAACATTCACTTATTATTTTATGCATTCGTTAACGTGTTGCATTTTTAACTACCTAGCTCTATAGAAGAATGTTCCCAAATATGTTTAAGGATGTGCCAAATTACGATATACGTGCCTTGTAATTTTAATTACAATACAATAATTGCATTTGAATTCGTAATATTCGTCATTGCATTCCATATTAGGAGATGTAAATTAAGTACGAGATGCCAACCTTTATTGGTATCTTTTTAATTTTTGAATGTAGCTACTGATAAATTACTAATAAGTCAATAGTTTTATGTATTATTTTATTATTGAATAAACATCACATCTAGGGTTTCTGATTTCTCGACTTATTTTTTTTCTCGAGTTTCGGGAATTCTCGAGGCCAAAGTCTCGAGTTTTCTCGGGTCTCGAGTCTTTTAATTAAAACTGTTGAAATCGGTTGAAATTTAATAAAAACACGGGTTTTTATTAATGTTATAATAATGTGTCTGGGTTATAATTAATGATACTGTAAAGTTTCAACAAAATCCGTTCAGTAGTTTTTGCGTGAAAGAGTAACAAACATCCAGACATCCACACAAACTTTCGCATTTATAATATTAGTAGGATAATTATAACTTAGTAATTAACTAAAGGAACAAAAGTCATAAAGTCGCGTGTACTTTAAGGATTAATAACCATAAATATCTGGAGCTCCAATTGAATCACTTGTTTTCCAAAGAACACAAGTCCAAATTAATTGAAAAATTACGATAATAAACCTGCATTTACAAACAAAATAAAACATTTAAATAAATTTTTAAACTTAAAGATAACGACTTGAATAAACGTATTTACGAGTACCTAAACTAACAGATAGTTAACAAAAAATTTTCAGTCTTTAAATCAGTCAGTTATACAAACATAATAAAATATAGCATACTCGTAGGTGATCATTATTAGTTTCGGTTAAGATCATTACTTGCAAATCAAATTAGTTAAAAAAAGGAAAGACTAGGCCAGTCTAAACGCAACATTAACCTATTAAATAATTAAAATCTTAATTTTGTCTAAGAAAATAGGCTTTCAAGAATATTAAAGCTTCAAAATCGAAACTCGAGAATTCTCGAGCTCCGGTAATTTTTTTCTCGTCTCGAATGAAGCCAAATTTCTCGAGTTTTCTCGAGTTCGAGAAAGCTCGAGCAGAAACCCTAGTCACATCAATCATTTATTTTTTGTTATTGGATCTAACCTTGTGCGTGATCACATATTTCATACAATAGTTAAGGAATTTAAAATTATTTTTAAACTAAAAAACAGATAATTTAGCGGAAATACTTGCAAGTGCTTAAGGCTATAGAGGTGTGTTGATAATGTTTTCCTGTTATTTTAATATTTCTTAGAAATCTTAGTGTGTATTGTGATTGCTTTTCATGTTAACATTAATTTACCGTAGTTTTTCACAATCATGGAATATACCTATTCTTAGCTGATTGAATATTCATGGTTTAAAAAACTGTATTAGCAATCAATAGACGCAATCTATTCTTGATAAGTTAATTGATGTTATCATGCCGTTAAGTTTTATATTTGCATGTACTCTTGAGTCTGTTAATAAAATTAAGCAAGTTCGATGTAATTAACTTAAGAATTGCCTAGCAATGTTCTAGATGTTAAGATTACACGAAATAAATCTGTACAATAACATGAACGCATTGTGCATTTCATTCGGCGTCAGGTACGCTAGTACCAGCGGGTCTGCAGTTTACGCGCGCGTTCATTTCACTTCCGCTGTCGGTTGAACGGACGGGCGAGTAGGAAAGAAAGAAAATAACGTTCTTATAGAAAAGATAATATCGGGCGGCGAGCGCGCGTCCCCACCACGTCACGGTTTGCGCGCGCTGCGCCGCCATTGGCCAACGCCCCTCCCGCCCGCCGCACGCGCAGCGTCTAGATTCCAGATTTGAAATCTCGACCGTTTATTTCGTTGCGAGCGGCCACACCGCGCGCGTCTCGCGACTCGCGCGCCCGCGTTCCACACCGCGTTTATAAAACACGGCAACGTGCTCGTACGGTCGGTGCTACAACGTGACGGACGAAAGTGCGTGCAGTGCGTCGTGGGATGTCGGCGAGCTGCGGCCGGCGGAAAGTCAATTTCTTTCGATGAGTGGAGGTTTAGTGCATGTTTTTGTACATCATGACTAGATCCACACTCATCCATGGAAGTTGCGTGGTTCGTCGCCGGAGCAGCGTGGGACAGACGCGCGACCGGGCGCGGTACGACGGGCAGGTACGCCGCTTACCTGCCGCGCCGGGCCGCCCAAAAATGTCGTTAAGATACACTTCGCGCTGCTTAGCTATTGGCTATTCAGAGTGAGTTTTTGTTGTAGTTTTTCGAGCATCCGAGGGCGAAGAATGGAAGTTTTTACGTTGTTAAGTCACGGTTTGGAAATAGACGAGGAATTTATGGTTGTTAAGTTTATCGCGCCAATCCCTAAAGTCACGTGCGGGGAGTGCGCGGGCGAGCGGAGGGCGCGGTAGATAGCGGCGCAGGCGCATCTGCTCCTTCTGAGAAAGGCCATTGTGGCGGTCCCGAAGTGGTCAGTGCGGTGACGTCACAGGCTGGGGCCGACAACCTTTCCCCCCGTTCCTTACCCCCGCTAATATACATCCGCCATCGTGCGTTCATGTTTTTGCATCACCGTGTTAATTAAGAAGTTTGTCCTTGTAGGTCCGAGCACAGGTAGGGCTTGAGAAGATCGCTTGAATAGTTACTGCATGCTAAAATTTTATGTTCTTTTAGTATTTTCTGTTAGTAGTTTTAGCAAAATACTGCTTCTGGCACTTGAAATATGTAAAGCATTTAAATTATTATAAATTTTGAGTAGAAGAAAACAAAAAATGTAGGTATTATGAAAAAAATATCAATTTTGGCGCGTAATCCGATCCACGTGCATTTTGACAAAGGGCAAGGGTCTAAGATTTTTTTTCACCGTTGAAATTGACAATGAACTTTACATGAAAATCATTCTATGATTCCTTTGATTATTAATTACTTGCGCAACGGATATAATAGTGTTGCACAACAAAAAAATACTTATCGAATATAGCTGACCCGGCGAACTTTGTTCCGCCTTAATGGCAATAAATAACGGGATAAAAAGTATCCTATGTCCTTCTCCTGGCTCTAAACTACCTCCCTGACAATTTTCAGCTAAATCGGTTCAGCCGTTCTTGAGTTATAAGCGAAGTAACTAACACGACTTTCTTTTATATATATAGATTGTTTAATGTTGCAATTTAGAAAATGCATAAGATCTCTTGAGATGAACAATAAAAACACAATTTCTTGGAGATGAAAATGAAAAAAAATATTAATTGCTAACTTTAACCTTTCCTATCTTAAATTGTATTATTCTAGCACCCAAAATAGAAGCGAAACAAGCTCTACAAGGAAGAAAAAGAACTATGACTTCCTCACGCTGGATTTCCCCGCGTAATCATGTCTTTAGTAAACACAAGTCATTTGCTATAGAATAACAACAAAATAGTCGATTCAGTTTTAAATAAATTCAGCTAAATCTATCTATAAGCATTGCATAATGCAATTTTGATTGGCTCACCGACCAACAAAATAGAGAAAAAAGCGTCGAACAGAAAAGTCGGGCTTTCTAATCTGGCTGTAAAAAGGCAACAAAATGTTATTAACGAAGAAAAGATGTTTCACGAACTTGATAATAATATTTTTAAACGCGATTCAAGCAATTTTAAAAACAGCGTCGAAATAAAAACTAGAGATAAATAGATGCTATGGCTGTTATGAAATGAAATTAATGGAGCAAAACGCCCACACAAATAAATTGATCGCTGCAGCGATGGTTATCCGGCTTAATCACCACATTCACTCGTGAAATCGGTTTGAAGATCAGTAGACAGGAATGCATAACCGACATCGAATTCTTGCGGCCGTTAAATTTCAAATTTGAATTCGAACAAAAGGTCCTTTTCTAATGCTCAAAGAAGACGCTACACAGACCCAAAACGCCCCGTCTCTTTCTTGTAGATCCAAACGGTCAATTACCGTGGTAATTTGTTATACGGCA